CACAAGGTTTCCCTCCTTCCTGAGGAATCCATGCTGTATTTCCTACCACTCTCCCAGGCTTTTGGGGAGCAGGTACCAGACACTATCATGCAGCACCCCTGTGAAGATGGGGTGCAGTGCTTGCCTAGCCTGCAGAACTTGGGCTGACACATGAGTTCCTGCTTTGAGGACCCTGATGGGCTTCAGTATCAACAGAGTGATCAGGCCTTCATCCAGAGGTTGTCCCAGCTACAACCCAATGAAATACCCAAAGCATTGTCCAAAGGTCACTTGGCCCACCCCCTTCGTCTTTGACCATGGTTCACAACTGCTACATTTCAAAAGGAATTTCAAGGGTAAACAGCAAGGATGGGTGAGAAGTTGAGTTGTAATACTATGTGGTTGGTGTTGGCTTCTTAGTTCAGCACCTTTTCTTTCCATTAAGTGCTTTTGAGTTAGAGCTGAGTACACAGCATACACGCCAGCCCACTTCATTATTGCTTTCACATGAAGAGAAGGCATCTTAGCACTTTGTCTCATGGCATCAATGAGCAACAGATGCTCCTACAAAGTCACAGCTGTTTGAAATACCTACAAGAGAAGTGGGCACAAACCAGTTGATGATGCACAATAATTTTCCCAGCAGAAAATTTTCTGTATTGGCTTTTTATTATGACAAGCTGCACACACACACTCTACAGATTTTATTTTTTTTTTCTAAGTCAAGTCTGTAAAATATTAACTACTTACTGCTTTTTTGGAGTTGTCTGTGTAAAAGCTAGGCTCCTAAGTCTTCAGACTTACAAAAACCATTGCTTTAAAAGTTTACTTCTCACAGCATTACTTTTTTTAGCATACAAAAGCAGCAGGCCTATAGATCTTCCATAAAGAATGTTTCATGATACTCCATTGACATAATTTCCTATCACTCCTCTCCACAGCCTGCTTTCCAAATCAGTTCTTCCTTTCTTTGACTGTGAATCCTTTTGGCCTCTGCATGCGCCTGGATATTGTCTACTTACCTTTTAATCTTTAAATACATTATTTCTATTGTTTTTTTTCCCCTGGTGTTCAGAACTAACCAGTATACAGACACTCCACCAAAGCTGTTTCATTCTTGCCATCCAAATGCAGGTCCTAGTTAATCTCATGAGATTTCTTCTGATGATTTCAATGGAGACACTACTGCTTCCTGACTAACAGGGGCACAAATAGACAAGTATGAGTCAAGGGAATTGGCAAAAGCAGCTAGATGGAAACAGACAGTTCACCTCTCTGCTTCCTCTAATCCCACAGGTCTCTTCCTGTAAACCACAGACTGAGATTTGAAAAGTGTGAAGAATTTTCTTCTCGGGTCAGAACTTAAATCATCAAGTAGTTACAGGATGGCTACCACTGTAAGACTGCATATTAACAAAGCTAGGCTTTATACATGCACAGAATATGAAACATGGAAACAAACATTAACTCCCTACAAACCAATATTGCAACTATTTTTTTCTGAATGAAATGATTACTTAAGGATATCATCCTCAACATGACTGGGGAGGTGGATTTGTTCTACACTGACAAGGTAGATGTGTGCACCTGGGTAGTGGGGAGGGTGAAGCAACCAGGCTGCTGTGACCTAGGACCCGAGAGCCAGAGCAGCACCAGGCAGCATTAACAGGCACCAGGCAGCAAAGATTCAAGTGCTCTTAGTTCCCTCAGTGAATCTATGATGAGGTGGCATCATCAGGGAGCATTTTGCTCATTATTCTAAATTTCTCCTTTAGCTTCATATCAACAATATTAGCAAACACAGTATCAACAATAAGCAGAAGCAATTCCATAAAAGAAAACTCAAATATATTTATTATCATGGAATCCAATGAACAAAAAGCCTTCAGAGTTCTACAGTCTTGTAAAAAGCAAACCTCTTGCTACTTTTCCATGTTTTTTGGTAATGAAGTGGCTTTACTAGCTTTGGAGGCACTTCACAGTAGCCTGTTATGTTAGTCCTTACCCAGTGTTGATCTCACTTTCCAGGAATTCAATGGAACAGCATCTTGGGCCTCTGGCTGAGACGTATTCTAGTTCCAGCCATGACAACAAAAGTCCTAAACCATGAGAAATTAAGGAACTGAAAATAAAGTAACTTGGACTTCTCCCTCCAGTAACAGTCATTGGAGCTGGTGTAAGCGCAGTTTTCCTGCACAAAAAGAAAGTTATCCAGATGGCAAGCTGCCTCAGGCTTTTGCCCATTTTTCTTCTCACAGAGGAAGAGACAAAGGTCAGTTCCTTTTGGGT